TTTTAAAAGTAAAATAAAAATATGGCATTTGTACACCCATGTTCATTAAAGCATTATTCACAATAGCCAAAGAATGGAAGCAATCCAAGTATCTATTGAAATATAAATGGACAAACAAAATGTGTATATAAGCGTGAAAAATCACTGGAGGCAAAAATGACAAAACTAAAGTTGTCCTATTTCAGGCACATCATGAGAAGACAGAGTTCTCTGAAAAAGACAATAATGCTTGGAAAAATTGAAGGCAACAAGAAAAGAAGAATATCAAATAGGAGAGGAATTGACTCCATAAAAGAAGCCATAGGCACAGTTCTACAGGAGCCGAGTAGGGCTGTTGAGGACAGAACATTGTGGACATCACTCATTCATAGGGTTGCCAGGAGTTGGAGCTGACTCAATGGCACATAACACACACATATGTTTTGTGCTACCAAGTTTATATCTCTAGCCTAGACATCTTTCACCTTCTCCCAACTTGTGTATATAACTGCCTGCTCCACATTCCATGTGGATTCTAGTAGACAACTCAGCATATTCAGAACTGACACTGTTCCAAATGCAGTCCCTTCCTCAGTTGGTGACAATTTTATCTTTCTAGTTTTTCTGGCCAAAAATCCTAGTTATCCTTAGTGACATTTGTCTCTCACATTTCACAGTCAATCCATCAGGAAATCTTCTACCCTCAACATATCCAGAACCCTATCCTTCTCCCACCTGTTTTGTTACTGGCTGGTACAAGCTGCCACCATCTCTAGCCTGGATTCCTGCAATAGCCTCCTAATAGGTCATACTGCTTTTATCCTTGTCTCCCTAGTCTATTCTTAACACACCAACCAGAGTGATTCTTTTAAAATAGAAGTGACTTCATGTTACTCCTCTGCTCAAAATCCTGCAATGACTCCCCATTTTATACAAAGTAAAAACCAAAGTCTTTACAATAGCCCACAAGGCTCTCCATGACCTAGTACCCCTTGCTCCTTACCTTCTTGACTTTATCTCTTACTACTCTCCCACTCACTCATTTTGTTCCAGTTACACAGTCCTCAACTTTTCCTCAAACACTTCAGGCATACTTCTAACTTACAGAGTTTGCAGTGGCTAGTCCCTCTGTCTGAAAAGCATTTCCTCCAACTGTATAGCTTAGCCAATTCCCTCACCTCCTTTAGGGCATTGCTCAAATTGCATCTTCTCCAGAAGGCCTTCTCTGATCACCTTAATATATAGTCAACCCTCTCCACCCTCCTATACTTCCTTCTCCTCCTCTTCCAAATTCCCTTACCTTGCTCTATTTTTTTCTATAGCATTTATCACCTTTTAACATACACTATATATATTTTTTCTTTATTGATTTGAGAGAGAGAGGAAGAGAGAGGAAGAGATAGAAACATTGATAAGAGAGAACGATTGGCCGCCTCCTGCATGCTCTCCACCGGGGACCTGGCCCACAACCTGAGCATGTGCACTGACTGAGAATTGAACCGGTGACTTCTTGGTGCATGGGTTGACGCTCAACCACTGAGCCACACCGGCCAAGCCATACACTGTACTTTTTATTAAATGTATTTGGGCAACATTCATTGATAAAATTATATAAGTTTCAAGTGTACAATTCTATAATACATTATCTGTCTACTGCATTGTATGTTCACCACCTAAAGTCTAGTCTCCTTCTGTCACCATATATTTGTTTTGTTTTATTTTTTTCTTTATTGATTTTAGAAAGAGAAAGGGAGAGGGAGAGAGAAATAGAACATTGATGAGAGAGCCCTGGCCAGTTTGGCTCAGAGGTTGGATCATTGGCCTGCGGACCAGAGAGTCCTGGGTTGAGTTCCCGCTAGGGGCACGTACCAAAGAATAAAAATAAATTAAAAAAAAAAAAAAGAAACATTGATGAGAGAGAACATCAATTGTGTGTCTCCTGCATGCCCCCGTTGGGGATAAGGCCCACAACCTGGGCATGTATCCTGACGGGGAATCGAACTGGTGACCTCTTGGTGCATGGGTCAACACTCAACCACTGAGCCACACCAGCCGGACTGTCACAATATACTTGACCCCCTTTACCCTCTTCAACCTCCCCACACATCCCATACACTATATATATATTTAAATATGTTTTTATTGATTTTTAGAGAGAGAGAAAAAGGGAGAGGGGGAGAGAGAAACATTGATGTGAAAGAAACATCAATCTGTTGCCTCCTGTATATACCCACAACCTGGGCATGTGCCCTGACCGGGAATCGAATTGGCAATCTTTTGGTGCATGGGACGATGCTCAACCAACTGAACCATACTAGCCAGGGCCTATACACTTTTTTTTTTTTTTTGCGTTTAATGCTTGAAGTTTATTATGGAGAAAGAGAGAAGAAAGGTACAGGAACGAAGACTATATGCTTTTCCAGGTTGTCAAAGGAATCTCAGAGTGCTTCAGGTCTCAGTCCACAAAGCTCAGCAACAGCAAAGCTTGTATCAACGGCCATAGATCTTACAACTTCCAGAGTGATGCTCTAATCGATTGCAGAAGAGGCTGCATCTGCATGTGCACATGTTTATTTTCCGAAGGCCTGAAGCTTGGTGAGCTAGGCATTACTGTCCTGAGAAGGTGATGGCCATGTCTTGGTCCTAGGCCTCATGCTGGTCCTGGTCCTTGGCTTCAGGCTGGTACTGGGCAAGAATCTGGTCAGCTGTCTCTTGGAGGGTCTGAGCCGGGGCCAGTTATTGTGTTGTTTGGAGAAAGAGGAAACACAATGACGTTCCCGCAGTGCCCTTCCGAAATATCAGATCCTTTACAATAAAAAAAATAAATTTGTACCATGGGACAACCTTCAAAATGTAGTAGAGAGATGAGTGGAAACCAGTCTCTCCCATTTGGATTCTCTTGATGGAGGTATACACTATATTTAAAAAATTTCTCTTTATTGCTTTTATTTTAGAGAGAGGAAGGGAGAGAGAGAGATAAAAACATTGATGAGAGAGAACATCAATTGGCTGCCTCCTGCATGCCCCGACTGGGGATTGGGCCCACAACCTGGACATGTACCTTGACCGAGAAATGAACTGGTGACCACTTGGTGCATGGGTCGATGCCCAGCCACTTAGCCACACAGGCGGGGCTATACACTATATTTTTTATGTTTATTTCTTAGGTGTGTTTACAGTGTCTTCTTCATATATAGAATGTAAGCTCTCCCAAAGCAAGAATCTGTTCATTGATATAGCCTAAGGATCTTGTACAGTGTCTGGTATAGAGTAACTGCTCAATAAATATTTGTTGAATAAATATATGAAAAATGTAGATAAAAATAATGATACTTATTCTAAAAAATTATTATAGGGATTAAATATTGGGCAAAGATCCTGACACCCAACAGATCCCCAACAAATGTTAGATCCCTACCTCCCTTCACCAAATATTTTTCCCAGTTGCTTCCTGGTACAGCATCGCTCCTTCCTTCCTCTCTGGAAAATTTCATCATTCTAATCTCTCATTTTACTTTACTGATAAAAGCAGGTCTCATTATTCATCAACTTTGCTTAGTGAGTACTGGACAGTTTGTTAGTCAATCATATTATTTATTCTCTCCCCCACCCCATCACCATTTATCTCCTCTATGCCCTCTTACATACCCCCCTCCCTTTGATTTTAAAACCAGGAAAATCTAACAAAGATCACAGATGTCATCTGAGAAGAAAAGGAACCCTGGGAGACCAGGTTTACCCATTGCCACAACTGTTTATCAGATCAGCAAATTATCACCCAGAGAAATAGAGAGCCCTGGGGACATGGACCAGTAAATGTTTTTGTTGTTGGAGTTGGAAGTTTATTGCACTGTTTTTTTTTTTTTTTTTTTTTTTTTTTTTTGTACAGATAGAGTGGGAGGGAGAGAGAGGAAGGGAGAGAGAGTGAGAAACATCGACGTGAAGGGACACATCGAGTGGCCGCCACCCGCACGACCAACCAGGGCCGGGGACAAACTGCAACCGAAGTATGTGCCCTTAGCGGGAACCGAACCCGGGTCTCTCCGGACCGCAGGCTGACGCTCTAACCGCTGAGCCAAACTGGCCAGGGCTGCACTGATTTTTAAAGTCAATTTTATTAAGGTATACATTACATACATTAAAATATAACGTTTTAAGTACAATTTGATGAGTTTTGACAAATATACTATAATTTGATTTGGGGTGGAGGGCATTAATGTCATGCAGGTTGAGAGATGTAGCAGAGAGATCCTGGTTAGAAAAGAGAACACCAGGGCTTTTGGGAAACATACCCAAATAAGGACCAGTAGAAACACCAAGGGCCAACCTGAGGTTGGTCCTGGGGCCTCACTGAACCAGGATCTGGACCTCCGGAATATTTGGCAACTTCCTGAAACCTCTTGGTCCTCCTGAGGGAGTGGGCCAACTCCCTTTCACACCAATTTCATGTGTTTCGGCCAGTGGGGAACGTTCTAGCCGGTGATAGCCCAGCTTCATCGCTGCCACAACACTCACGGGGCCCGATTTTTCTCTCCATCCTTAGTTAGAAACTTGTGGGAAAAAGCAAAAGAGCTGCCGCAGGTATTGGAGTCTGGAAGCCTCTTTTGGGTCCTCCATCCTCCAGACTCTGGGGACTCTTGGCCTCCGTAGCGCCTAGCAACCAGGCCCTCTTGCCCGCCCCTCTACGCCTAAAAGCCTCTAGAGGTTACAGGTTCAGCTTCACTTAGACAGCAATGCCGACTTCAGGTTAGCTGGGGACACTGAGGCAGGACTGGAGATTCTGGATGAGGGGTCTGAGGCTGGCCACAACCTTTCCCCTTACCGAAAGCCTTCTGAGTTGCATGCCCAACTAAGAAAAAACCTCTGGGGTCTGCGTGGTCGTCTGGAGGGGAGAGCAAAGCCCCGCCCACGAGACTGGGAAACCTCGGGAGTGGCTGTGGGTTGGGCCGGGGGTGGGGTCCTGGCGGGGGGCGGGGCCGACCAGGGCTACCGGCTATGCAAGTCTAGCCCTGCAGAGTGAAAGCAGTGGTGGCGGCCCTCGCTCGTGTCTCGATTTCTGCTTGCAGTCGACCTCCCGGCCATGGCGGGACCCCAGGAGTTTCTGAGTGGGAAGCTCCGGCTCTGCTTCACCCCTGCCGCTCGGACCAGCCTCTTGCTGCTCAGGCTCAACGATGCGGCGCTGCGGGAGCTGCAAGAGTGTCAGCGGCAACAGGTGTGGCCGGCCCCGGACCCCATCTTCCCTAGCCCCTACCCTAGGGACCGCAGGCCTCAGCTGGAGACCCTGAGGAAGGGGCCTGGGGATGCGGAGTGGTATACACAGGCTCCGGCCTCCCTACTTCTCCAAGTGAAGCCCTCGAGGCAGGTTCCTCCCGGCACCTGACGCGGGATCCTGGGCAGACCGCTTCACCTGCCCTGTTTGTGCTCTCCCTGCAGGTTCGGCCAGTGATTGCTTTCCAAGGCAACCGAGGGGTAAGTACGGACCTGGGGTGTGTGAAGCGGGTGGGGTGTAGAGAGAACAGACGCAGGCCCAGGGAAAGTACGTACGGTCAGGGCGGGAGACTGAGAGCAGTCACTGAGGAAGTTCCTGAGAACTGAACCCCGAATCGGGTGAGGGGGCTGCGCGGGTTGTGGCCCCAGGAGGCTGCGGTTGAAGAGACTGCGTCTCAGCCTCCTGGGAACTCAGGCCCAGCTGCACCTGGTGTGCTAACGAGTCTCATGGGACCCATCTTCAGTCTTAGGCTGGCTCAGGGAGGATGGGCATTGGCAGGAGGGGTAAGAGCTGACTACATGGGGCTTTCGGTCTTCTTTTACTCCCAGTACCTAAGGTTCCCAGGCCCTGGCTGCTCCTGCCTCTTCTCCTTCATAGTGTCCCAGGTTGGCCAGGAGGGCCCTGGTGGTGGCTTGGACCTTGTGTACCAACGCTCAGGCAGGTAAGAGGGAACAAACAGGTAGCAGGTGAGAAAGGGTTTGTGGTAAGGCCAGGACGGGGATATCCAGAGGTGCTTTAAAAGTTCTCTACCCTCCTGGTATTTTTTCCACCACCCCTTTCCAGATCTGGGCCTAACCGCCTCCATTGCCTGGGCCCACTCAGGGAGCGTCTCACTATTTGGGCAGCCATGGATTCTATCCCAGCCCCATCTTCACTTCAGAGACACAACCTGACTGAAGATTCCAGAGATCCTGAGAACTGGCAGAACATGGGAGATTATTCTGGAGGTGCAGTTTCACAGCCACAGATGGCACTAGAGGAGGTGAGAAACTGCAGGGAGTAGGGATGAGGTGGGGCAAAGCCTGAAGGCCAGGTAGCCAAGTGCCCCTGCCACTTTCCCTGCCAGGTGCCAGATCCACGGGCAAGCAGCCAAGGATGGTCACTCCCAGGATCCTCAAGGAAACACATGGCACATTGGGAAGTGAGGTACTTGGGGCAGGGTGGGACTAATCTGAGAAGCCCTGGTGTTGTCTTCCTCGAATCTCCACCCTAAATGCTGCAATAAGAAATCAAGCCCTAGCCCTGGCCAGTTTGGCTCAGTGGTAGAGCATCAGCCTGCGGACCTAAAAGTCATGGGTTCGATTTCAGTCAAGGGCACATACCTCGACTGCAGTTGGTCGCCAGCCCTGGTGGGGTCGTGCCGAAGGTAATCAATAAATGTGTCTCTCTCATGGCAATGTTTCTCTCTTTCGCCCACTCTATCTGACAATAAATGGAAGAAGGTATCCTCAGGAGAGAATTTAAAAAAAAAAAAGAGAAATCTAGCCCTATCTCCTACCAGGGTCTTCATCTCTTCCATTCCCTCTTCAAATATCCTAGGAACCAGACCCATCTTCCAAACAGAGAGCCTGATCAGGCAGTGCCTTTTTCTGCTAGCCAGAAACATCTGAACAAGGTAAATTGTAACAGCAAGAGTTTTTCAGAGATCTGTCCAATCAGGCTAAAATTCTGATGCTCACAGAGATTATTATATGGAAGTAATTTTTCTAAAGAAAGAAGGCTTCTGATATACTTTTAGTGTGACAAAAGTATTTTCCCCAACAGAAACGTCCAGCACCTGCAGCTGCTATCGAACTGAAAGAAAAGAGGCTCAGAACTCTGCCTCTAGCTCCAAGTTCCCTACAAAAGCTGGCCAGGCAGGACCTACGAGAGGGAGAAGATTGGGAACAAGAAGATAAACATGAAGACATGGGCTCCAGGCTGGAGCACAGTCCCTCAGTTCAAGCAGGTGAGAGTCAATGAGAGGAGGGTAAAACTGCCACAGTGGGGGGAAAAGGCTGATAATCACCTTCATGTCTTCTTTCATAGACTCTGAATCCCCAAGGCCTGAAGAGGTACCAGATTACTTCCTGTGAGTCCCATGCCACTTCTAATTCATCAAACCTTGTGCATACGAGATATTAAGATGAACTTCCTGGGAGCTGGGAGCTTTGGTATGGTAATAAAATTAAAGGTGGTAATTCTCTGCTCCTGGCAGGCAATATGGGGCCATCCACACTGCAGAGCAGCAACTTGCTTATGAGCAGGACTTTGAGAGAGATTACGCTGAATACCGCATACTGCATGCTAGAGTTGGGGCTGCAAGTCAAAAGTTCATAGAGCTGGGAGCAGAGATCAAGAGAGTTCAGCGAGGAACTCCAGAGCACAAGGTAAGGACTGGACCCAGGCTGGCTTTCCAGCTCAACTGGCCATAAACTCCCTGGCTAACTGCCCATAAACCTGTTTGTTCAGTGACCAAAACAGTAACAAGCAAGTCTGTTTTGAGAGAAAAATTATTCTGTATCATTTGGCAGCATGAGAAGTTACTTCCCTCCATGAAGAGAACTACAGTTTTTTTTCTCAAGGTTAAACTTGATGCTAGCATTTTCTTTGTTTCAGGTACTGGAAGAAAAGATAATCCAGGAATATAAAAAGTTCAGGAAGGTAAAACTAGGTCTGGGAATGGTAGCAAGGAGGTAAAAATTGATTTTTTTTTTTTTTTACATGGATGCTTTTTCTCTACAGAGGTACCCAGGTTACAGGGAAGAAAAGCGTCGCTGTGAGTACCTGCATCAGAAATTGTCTCACATTAAAGGTCTCATCCTGGAGTTTGAGGAAAAAAACAGAGGCAGCTGAAGCAGTCAGAGGGCTATTGACCCTCTCTGCCCAGTGATATGAAGGAATAAAGCAGCTATAAACTAAATAGAGTGCAACTGTCTGCTCTTGTTATTGCTGAAACTATGGTGACAGGAGAGCTGCTCTAGGTTAAGATTTGATTTTCATTGTTGCCATATTTTAATTTTTCAGGGTGTAGGTATAGTGCCAACACTCCATAGCTGTGCCCAGGAGACTAATAAAAGCAGCAGAGGCTTGGCTTCTCCACCTTTAGTTCAGCGAAGTCATTTTCAAATCCTGAGAAATGACACTATTTCCAGGACAAGATACCTCTAGGATGTTAGAATTCAGCCTGGTAGCCTCCCCAACAAAACAATGAGAACTTTTAGGAACTTTTAATACACCTGGATATGATGGCAAAGGGCTTGGGGTCGTACCCATGTACTGAATGTGAATTCCTTTACAAAAATGGCTAAAAAATTAAAACTGTTTCTGTGTCCTTTGTATAAATTTATATGCTTTCCTTAAATCTTCAAAAGTGGTGGTTCTTACCCCTGGCTGTATGTCTGAACCATTTCTGGACTCTCTAAAAAATTAGATCTCCAGATCCCAGTCTAGGACTTGTGATTTAGAATCTCCCAAGATTATGATTAGGCTTCTTAACTTCTTCAAAGCAGTATGGATGATCCTGATATATATTATTTTGCTATAAGGCTTTACCAAATCCATCTTATAACTGACAACTAGAGATGACAGTAGGAATACAGTTCTCCATTTCTAAACATTGAAGTTGAAAATCACTTATAATTTGGGTTCCTATTGGAAATATTCAGTGACTGAAAACTATAACCATAGATAGGATTTGGATTTACTCACAAAAAGGAAGAGGGGAAATGGTTCAATTCATTCCTCATTGTTGCAGAAGAAAGTGGATGTTGTCAGTCACAATCAGGAGTGATACCGCCTTTCCCAGTCCACTGGAGAGGAAAGTTAATAGGCCACACCTGGGCTTTGGGGGAGAGCGCTGCACCTAGCAGTGTCAGCAATTCCTGAAACAACTTGCATGGAACCACAACCTGACGCCACATCCACACAGGGCATTTCTGGGCAGACAACAGTCCTTGGGAGGTATAAGCATGGTCAGCTACATGGCAAGGATAAGCAGCAACCTATCCTTAAGGCGTGGACAGGGTCAGAAACAGAGTCCAATAAGAAAGGTCCCTCACCTATTCTAATTATGAGGCTAGGGGCGCCTGGGCAATAAACATATAAGGATAGAAACAAAATTTGGGAAAGATTTACAGGTGATAACTGTGGACCCAGATAGGTGGTCTACAACTGTACTGACCAATATGGTAGCCACTGGCCCTATTTGTGACTATTTAAATTAATGAAAATTTAAAATGTAGTTCCCAGACACATTTCAAATGTTCAATAGCTGCATGTATTAGACAATGAAGATTATTGAACATTTCCATTATTGCAGAAAAGTTCTATTAGAAAGTGCTGGTCTAGAGAGAACCGTTGTTTTCCCATCTCATGGAAAAAAAGACAGTTTAAAGGGGGCTCATTTATTATCACTGTTCCAAATGTACAAAAAAAATTAAAAAATAACCCCCCAACTCAATTCCTCCCACCCCCACCAACACAAATAATTTCCCCCAAAACCACAAACATAAACTGGTCCTGGTAGTTCCATAAACAGTGCAGCTAAGAAACAGTTTAGAGAAAATTGAACAGGATTCAGATAATATTCATCTATCCTCTCAGCCCTGAGAGGTAATAATTCCATATGGGTACCAGTCCTCCCCAATGGTTTTCCCAGCTCTGGTGGAAGAGTCCTTCACAAAGTGGTATGTTTGGCTGCTGCTTTAGAGATCCTCCTGTGCCTTCTTCTTCTTCTTGGGTTTTTCTTCTTGAATTATAGGGGTGTTTGTAGCCTCTCGTTGTAGATAGCTAATAAAATCACTTAATTCACGGCCACCCTGAAAACAAAAAGATTACTATGAAAATGTAACCATTTAAAAAAACTCTGGGTTTTCTCCCACCCTCAGTAAGACTTTTGAGTTTGTAAAATCACATTAACAACCACATATATTGACGATGAAAGTTGAAAGTTTCCAGTTAAATAAATTTAATTACAGGGCTAGATTATGTACAAGCATGTGTATGTGTGTGTTCGTTTGTGGAAAACTGAGAACATGCACTTACTTCATACTTCTTTGGATCTAGCTTCTTGTTGGCTGGAGAGAAGTAGATGGTAGGAAAACTAGGGAAAGGGAAGAAAAAAAAAAAGTTGACAAATTTCCAGTTCCAGAGTGACTGATATATTCTTCCCCAATAACTGTTTCTGGGAATACTTTCTCTTCATGATTTCTAATCTGACCAGATACCAGTCTCCATCAGTGCTAGGTTTACATCTAATCAAAACAGAAGAATATGAGAGCAAACACAATCTGGGGCAGTCATGTAGGCCCATGCTGCATAATTCTAAGCCAGGAAAGCATCAGTGGTTCTGTGCTCAACTGGAGTATGAGGGCTCCCCAAACTATACCCAATAATAAAAAAAATGTTTCATCAGCTTTTTTTTTTTGGTCAACTGCTTATACATTTTTATTAGCTTTTAATGTACTTACCCTCTGACTTCATATGGAGAAGGCACATCATTGGCTGTGGCATCCATCTTGGCTATGATAATATTTGGGTCTTTTCTGAGCTGTTAATAAAAAATATTTTTCTTTTATTTCTTATTTGTAAATAGGATTTTTTGTTTTTGTTTTTTAATCCTTGCTCAAGGATATTTTTCCATTTATTTTTTTAGAGAGTGGCAGGGAGGGAGAAAGAAACATTGATGTGAGACACATCAGTTGGTTGCCTCCCACATGACCCCAACCAGGCCCGGGGATCAAACTCACAACTGAGGTTCGTGCCCTTGACTGGGAATAGAACCCACGACTATTTGGTTTGTGGGCTGACGCTTTAACTACTGAGCCAACCAGCCAGAGCTTAAATATGTTTTTATTGATTTTAGAGAGAGAAGAAGGGTGAGGGAGAGAAAGAAACACTGATGTGAGAAACATCCATCAGCTGTCTCCTACACTTGCCCTGGCCCTGTACCTGGGATCAAGGCTCCTGCATGCCCCAGACTGGGGATGCAACCCGAAACCAGGGTATGTACCCTGACTGGGAATCGAACCGGTGACTCTTTGGTGCATGGGATGACACTCAATGAACTGAGCCACATCAGCCAGGCAAAAGGTTAAATTTTTTAATTTCCAGTTTTTAGTGACTGAGGGACACTTAGTCAATTCAGGACTTAAATCACATTTGTAAACCTCTGGATAAATTTTGCTGCTCAGACAGGAAGAGTAGTTAACACTTGCACATAGTATCTTGTCTTTAACAAGTTTCACTTTTCTCTCTTGGTTTCATATTAAGACTCTATATATACAGCCACATTCAAAACTACCTAGCCTAAAGAAGACACTGTAAAGGCTAAGCCAAATGTTTTAAGATGAGGAAACATAATGTTTTCATATAAGCCATTACCAAAATTCAGAAGCCTGGATACTTTTAATCATAATGTACATTGAGTCTGAGTGGAGTTAAAGCAGATATTTGAGGCGTTGCTCAGGCTCAACACTAGGGGGAAGTCAGGTGAAAGTGAGTAAACAGTAGGTAAGGATGTATATCAATATCCCAACTCAAATTTTATCTTCAGAATATGGTTCAGACTTACCTTTTCTCCCAGTTCTTTATACTTAGGTTCCAGATTCTTACAGTGGCCACACCAAGGAGCATAAAATTCAATCAACACATCTTTACTTACATCATTCACTATTTCATCAAAATTCTCTGCTACCACTACCTGGAAAACACAAAAGATTCTCTAGTTGGTGAGATGAAAAATAAATTCACAACATCAAAATTACAACTAAACTACAATGTAACCATCATTCAGAACTGCTTGACATCAAGCTGAATGTAAATCCTACAACTATGAAATTAAAGAAGCAGAAGCAGCCACACGATGCTGGTAGGAGGGTAGAAGGGGCGGAGGACAAGCTGGTCACTCACCCACGTATGGTGGATAAACATCAGGATACCTCGACTGGGAAGGTACTCCCTGAGGAGTGAGGGGTCCCCATGCCATACAAGGCGCTGAGCTGAGGGTTCCAGTTCCAGGAAGAGAAGTCCCCATTACTTGTGGCTGGAAAAACCAGCGGGAACTGAGGAAGAGGGAGACTGTGGCTGCTGGAGCCCCACACAGTTCCTCTTAAAGGACCTGCACACGGACTTACTCGGACGTGCTCCCTGTAAGCTTGGAGGGGAGACAGCTTGAGGGGAGCCAGAGATATACAGGGAAGAACTGAGCTGTTTGGCCTCAGGACAAGGGCTGGAGAGGCGACTTTCTCCTCGACTTGCTAGGGGAGGCTGATGTTCCTTTGGTGAGCCCTTGCCTGGGACAGGCAGAGGGCCACTATATCTGGGACTCCAGCAACCTGGTTCACACAGTTGGCCCTGGTGATTCCCTGAGGCCCTGGCCCATCCAACTTTCGGGCCCAACCAAGCTGTTTCCAAAGGCTTTACCATAGGATTGGCCTGTCTTGAAGCCTGCTTCAGAGTTTCCTAAAATCTCTCAAGCAGCATCTGATCTTAGTAAGCCCCATATTACTCAATAAGTGGCCTTAGACCTGGCACTAGAAGCAGCCAGCCTCGGTTCACAACTTGACTTTTCTTGGGTACCTCCAAGCCCAGCACAAGCAGCAGCCATGGGCAGATCACACTGTAGCTTAAGCCTGGTGGCCCCGGATAGAACACAGGCAGTGGCTGACCTTGTCCCAGAGCCAGAACACCCAGTGGACAGCTCCAGACCACATCAAAACACCACCACCCAACCACCTCCACAAATAACACACTCAATGAGTGGACTCAGTGGGTACCACAGCCCTGATGAAGTAAGTCTTGCTCTGTGTGGTGGGCCCCTACACAGCTGATCCTCCAAGGTAGTCAGAGGCCAGAGGTCAGTGGGCACAGCCAGTCCTTACAGCTGATCAGCCTGAATAAATCCCTCCCATTGACATGACAACAGCAATCAAGACTCAAATATAACAGAAGGGTGTACAATCCACTCTAGGGGTGCACCTGGAGGGCCCAGCTGGGGCGATCAGGGAGAGTTTGCCACTGGATCCTACAGGACACCTACAACAACAGGCCACCCTACAAACCCTAGGAGACATAGAAATCTACCACAACCCTACCGCAGGGAAGCAGCCAAAATGAGACAAAGAAACATGTCCCAAATGAAAGAAAAGACCAAAACTCCAGGAAAATAATTAAACAAAATGGAGAT